GGAATGTGGCCCTGCTATTTGCTTTAAAGAGGCTGAGACCAGATCTGTCTTGGATCTGCAGGGAATATAAATGATGCAATTAATTCCCTATAATTTACAAGTCTCCATTTGCACGGAGCTCTGCAAGAAAGCGTTTGGAAACTACATACTGAATGCTGTGGGCTCTGGGATTTCATCATCATTCTCTCCACCTATAGAAAACCCGCTCGGCATTGAGGGCTCAGCCTGGTGGTGCCCTGCACAGTTTTCCTTGCATGCCCTGCTTCCACCCTAGTTTATCTCATCTCCCTATAAGTCATTTCACCTGCACTTAGTCCTCACTTCGTTTCTGCTTTGAATTACAGTTGCTTGTCCCTGCCTCTTTCAGAGACTGAGAGCTCGCTGAGGGGTGAGACCACATCTAAAACATCTGGATGTCCTCCTTCCTTCCAGCGCTGTTGCTGTTTCTTGCCCATTGTGTGTAATCAACAGATGTGTCCTGCATGGGGCATTGCATTGAAGGCTGGCTATCCACTCTCTGCCCATGCCAGCCAAGGGCCATACAGAGTAGAAAAAGAGTCCTTGATGAATTCAGTGAGCCTGAGGAGGGTGAGGACAGAAACAGAGACAGAGACAGAGACACGGGAGGGCTATTTGCTTCCTTGTTATAGAAGTTTGGCACTTTTGTCCCACAGTGATAATAGTATCCCAGTGTTCAGTTGAGGCTCCCCCCTACTTCCCATCTCTCAGTCCATCTGTTTCAGATGAGGCTGACTCTACCCCCAGGCCCAGGGGCAGAATACGTGACCCAGGCCCAGGCCACACTGCCCAGACCACTAGGCCCAGCTTATGACTGGCTGCCTGGCCCTCAGAGCCAACAAGATGCCCTGAGGCTTTCTCGGTGACTTCTGGGACAGGGGCAGGTGTTTTTGCCAGCTGGGCTTGACTCTGCAAGGAGTAAGCTTCAGAATGGCTGTCATCACAGAGGTACTGTAAGGAGCCTGAGACCAAAACAACAACTTAATGGAAGGCAGAACAGAGGGCTACAGTGAGAAGCAAAGTCCTAAAAATACATCTTTTGAGCCCTGAATCCGGTTAGACCTGAAGGTGAATTTTCTTCTCTGGACTTTTTAATGACATGTACTGGGTTCTTTGTCAGTTGCAACAGAAACACTCCCCCTCCCCTAACAAGTATATTCATCATGCCAGCGCAGGTGACCTCTGACCTGAGTAATGACTAGGGAAGAGTCAATCGATGTGGTCAAGGCATGTTCAACCTCAACTCATTGGTGGGAGCTAAAAAAACAAACAAATTAATTCACCCACATACACACACAAAAAGAAACCCAGGGGGGGGTGGGGAAGAAGATATAACAGCTATACTTTTATGAAGTTGTTACAACAAGCAAACAGAAAGGACATTCTTGGGGGGGAGGGGAGAGAGGGAGGAGGGAGGGAGGTGTCGGTGATGGGCCATAATAATCATATACAGTGTATATTGACAAAATAAAAATTTAACGGAAAAAAAAAAAGTATAAAACATAAAAGGGAATAGCAGACATTAAATGCAGGATAGATGTTAACTCTGGAATGGGATTGGAATGGGGTGCAGAGGGAGTCTCAATTATATCTCTAATGTTTTCTTTCTTAGGTGGATTGAGAAGTACGTGAGTATTTATTATATTATCACATATGAATTTCATAATTAAAAAAATGTTTTAAAAACTAAACATTCAAGAAATAGAGTGAATGATACAGGTGGTTGGATACAGAGCAAATAACTTCATTTATTCTTCTCTCTCCTTGCGTATCTGTTTCCCACAGTTTCTGTGTGCACTGCCAAGAAGGGAAGGTTATGAGTTCTTTGTAGGACAATGGACAGGCACTGAACTCCACTTCACTGCACTTATAAATATTCAGGTAGGTAGTTTGTGCCCTTCCTTTAGAAGAAAGAGGCCTATTCCTTGCTGAGGCTTGGAGACACAAGGAGCCCTTGCTGAGGCGTGGAAACACAGAACATCTACTAACTCCCAGCAGTATTTGCTGTGGCAATGATGAATTATCATACTTTATGTCACACTTTTAGAAGCCCCACTCAATACCTAAACATTGGAAAAGACTCCAAAACACCTTTTCTGACTACTTCTGGCTCTTGTTTTTCTCTTCCCCAGGCCTCTGTAGCACTTATTACGTTTGTCTCCCTTACTAATATGGCTGAGTTAGGATAGCTATCTTTTTAACCCAAGGTATAAGTCCCTTGAGGAAGGCTTCATGTCTTACATGAGTTTTATTAACCAAGTCAGCACCTTCCAAGGTGCTACATGAATAGTTTACATTTAATAAATATTATTTTATTACTTCTTTCTTTTTCTTTTCTTTTTTCTTCTAAATATTAGATTAAAAAGTTAGTTTCAAAGTATTTGAAGCTTTTAAAATAAAAGTCAGTATTTTAAATCAGATCATAACTAGGACTGGCATTCTATATTTGGAGGCCAAATCTGGCAAAAACAAGCATGTATTATATTGGTTTTGAGACTGAGGTAAAAAGGATGCAAAATAAAATGGGGGAGAAGCTTTTTACTTTGTTATTTTATAATTCATCTAACAACCATTCATTGAGCACATACTATAAAAACCAATATTTGATGTATTTAATATGTGCCAGGTGTTTTATATACATTCTGTCATTTAATCCATACAGATATGCCATGAGATAGTTAATGACATTGTTTCTATTTACAGACAAGAAAGTAGGCTTGGAGAAGTTAGTTCACACTGCTAATAAGTGATAGAGCTAGGTTTCAGTTCAGGTTATTCTACTCCAGAGTCTATGCCATTGTGCCATTGGGTTGGGAATTATGCTAGGACCTGGAGATCTGTGAGACAAGATCCCTGCCTTCATGAAGCTCATACGCAGGTATAGGAGAAAGATACAGAAACATAATTACGATCAAAATGATTAGTATAATATCAGAATTATGAACAAAATGATCAGTATAATGTTAGAAGCATGTTCAAGAGAACTGAGAGTCTGAGCTATTAACAAGTACCCTTGCAATAGTTAGATATTGATAATTAAAAAGACTCTTGCTGAAATTTTAGAGATGAGGTCCAGGGATCTTTTTTTGAATGTAGAAATATAGTTGTTTCCTCCTACACTATATTGGGGCTTTACCTTTAAACCCAGCCTCTCTGCTTAATCTAGACTTGAAGTCTAGTAACCACTGCCCTGACCATTGTTCATGAAGTTATGACCTTCCCATCCTTCTTCTCTCCTTCACCACCAACCCAGATTATATTTTTTAACTTTGTATTACAAATTTGGCCCATGTGTGAACTCTCCAGCTCTCACTACAGCTTAAAAAAGCTCAGTTTTCAAAGCCAGCCAACGAGAGTAGATTTCAGCTATGAAACACACCAGTACATAAAACTGGAAATTACACAGGCACATTGCTTTCTTTAGAACTTGATTTGGTAGCTGCTTGTGCCATTTTGTTTTTAAATGTATGGCCACAGTGAAGGATTCACTGTCTACTGTAAACATTTTCTAGCCAAACCTTTACCAATTGAAGACACAAATAACACTGTGCAAACTGTCAGTTTCACCAAGCCTTCACAGGCCAGACCTTGCCCCCACATACCTATCCTCCAACTCACTAGCCACCTAAGGGGTTGTTAAAAGCCAGAATTTTCTTCGGACTCTATTGCTTTGAAACTGCAATTTGTTGTGGTGGTACCTTATTGAGGCTTGATAAGTGTTCCTCCTTGTAGACTCGAGGGGAGGCTGCAGCCAGCCAGCTGATTTTATATCACTACCCTGAACTTAAGGAAGAAAAGGGCATAGTGCTGATGACAGCAGAAATGGATTCCACGTTTCTGGTAAGAATCAACTTTTATTTACCTCTGGATTCACCTAGTGGCCCTGAAGATATTACTTTTCTGACAAAGTTCATGAGAGGTAAAATTCCAGAGACCTACATGTACCGTATTTCTTACTTATTTTATTTTATTTATTGAAATACAATTGACTATGCATATTTCTGGGGTACACAGTTGACTATCAGCATTTGCATGCAATATATCATGATCAAATCAGGATAGTTAGCATATTTATCATTATTTTTTAAAGTTGACAGTAATTTTGTCTTGCTCAAGCTCTTTCAAGTTGAAGTTAGTACAGATTCTCAGTCATTTATTCACAATTCTGAAATCCACAAGCTCTAAAGTTTTTTTATGCTCATTTGGTCACAAAATCTTACCTGAATTGAACTCATTTGGTAGTTAAATCTCCACTTAAGCAGATGTGAGGCCATTTATAGTCCTTATTAGTCCTACTTGGTGTGGAATATTATGCATTTTACTAGAGAAATATTGATGTGTTTGATTATGGAGAGTTGTATAATATATAGTTATACAGTATCTGCATCTATTACTTTTCTACAATAGAATAATTCTGATTCCAAGACACATCTGGCACTGAGGATTTCAGATAAGGGATTTTGGACAAGTAAATGGCATCCTAAGTATAGGGAAGAGTTCAAAGTCTGGAATAGTTCTCAATCTTGTATCTTCCTCCACACTGTTCACAGGTAAAACATTCATCAAACATAGTGATTTCCTTTCCTCCTTTTCTCATTCCCCGGTGAGAATCACTGGGCCAGAGCACTGACAATATGCCCATAGCTAATGATGCACATTTTGTTCTCTCTGCACATCCAGGTGCCGGGAGCAGTTTTATGATTACTGCACAATCTGTTTGTCTAGTCCTCGCTCATTTTAGTCTCATTTGTCTAGCAGAGGTTAAATTCAGGATGTCCTTAAAATAGTGAGCACTTTAGAGCTCTTCCCCCTGAGATTCTTCATTACAGCACCCACTTACTTTTCCTTTCTCTCATCAGCTGCATGGAGGAAGGAAGAAGTAATGTCACTCAAATAGTATCTCATAGTAACAGTAGGCCACAAGCCTAGGACATAGTGAGGACTCTTCTTCCCTGTATGTTATCCCTGAAACTGTCCAGTCCCATTTCTCCCATTCATCCTTAAACCCTTTTATCCACCACACTCAACTGGAAGTCACCCAAAATCCTATTCAGAAATATAGAGTTGCCATTATACTGAGATAGACGAGATTGCAGGAGGAATAGGTTTGAGAGGAAAATCAGGAGCTCAATTTTGGACATGTTAAATCTGAGATGCCTGTTAGATATCCAAATAGTAGACAGTTAGATATATGAGCGTGGAGTTCAGGGGAGAGGTCTGGGCTGGTGATATAAATATGGAAGTTATCAGCATACAGATTATATTTAAAGCCATGGGACTGAATGAAATCACTAAAGAAATAAGTGAAGATAGAGAAGAGGTCTAAGAACTGAGCCCTGGAGAGATGAAGAAGCATCAGCAAAGAAGATTAAAAAGGAATGGTTATGAGGGAAAAGGAAATAAGATGGTAGAACTCCCTGGAAGCTAAAACAAAATGTTTGAAGTAATAGGGAATGCTCAATTGGCCAAATCTTACTTGGCTTGCAGGGCAAATGAGATGAAGACTGAGAACTTGCTAGATTTCACGAACATAGAAGTCATTAGGAGCCTTTATAAGAACAGTTTCAAAGAAGTGTGGTAAAAGCATGACTGGAGTAGATTTGAGAGGATGGGAAGAGAAATTAGGAACCGTAAGCATAAAAACTCTCAAGGGACATTTCTGTAAAGGATAGGAGAGAATGGGGCATTTGCTGCAGGAAGAGAAGTGAGGCCAAGGGTGTCTTTTGTTTTAAATAAGAGAGAAATAACATCATATTTGTATGCTGTTGAGAAAGATCCAGTAGAGAAGGAAATATTGATAATGCAGGAAAAAGAGGAGAGAGGTTATATCTTTGAGTGGACAAGTCTGGGAATGAGAGGTTGATCTTTGCCAAGAGTATGAAAACAGGAGAGAAGCCAGAGTATAAGGACACAGATACAGTTAAAGGGATAGAAGTGGTGGTAGCTTGTAAGAGTTTTCTCCAGATTGCTAAGTGAAAAGAAAGGTCATCAGCTGAGAGCGAGGATAAAAAATAGGTGTTAGATACTTGATTTGAAAAGAAAAAGTATGAAATTGTTGTCTAGGACAGGGGTCAGCAACTACAGCCTGTGGGCCAAATACAGCCCACTCCCTGTTTTTATAAGGTTCATGAGTTAATGTTTCCTACAGGGGGAGGAAAAAAAAAAAAACTAAAGAAAAATAATATTTCATGACATGTGAAAAGTGTATGAAATTCAAATTTCAGTGTCTGTAAATAAAGTTTACTAGAACACAGCCATGCTCATTAATTTACATATTATCTATGGCTACTTTTGCTCTATGACAGAGTTGAGTAGTTGCAATAGAGACTATATGGCCCATAGAGCCTAAAATATTTACTCTCTGTCCCTTTACAGAAAGTATTTTCCAACCCATGGTCTAGGAGAATGGAAGAGAGAATGTCTATGCAGGATCAAGCACAAGGAGAGAGGGCTGACAGTTGGATTTAACTAGGGTTATGGCTTAGCCAAGTGGTATAATGAAGTGATTGAGGGGCTAGGAAGTTGAAGGTGCATACAAAGGAATGATTATAATTATTGATCATGGAATGAAAGCTGGGTAAAGAAGGAAGTGAAAATGTAAGAGAGGTTAGAGACAGTAAGAATCGTGAATCCTAGTGAGGTTGAAGGATTGTTGGAGTTGGGAGTGAGCTAGAAAGATAGCAAAGATAGCAAATAGTAGATAGAATGTAGGTATTTCCAGTTGAGATTTGGAGGGGATATAGTTACCAATAAAGACAAGGTTTGATTTGACCATGGGAATCACTGACATAGAGATTGTACTGTATCTTTTCTGGTCTGCAGCAAAGCACAGCATTTAACCATATTAAAAATGGATCCTAGAGGTCAGAGGAGCCCCTTTCTGTATTTTGCCATTTTTACCACCTCACTGTGGTAATCTTAGACTGCTGCACAGTTTTCATCATCATTTAAGTTTGCTTCCTGGCCTTATAACATTTAACAGTATACTAGACAACATATATTTGCCTTGTATAAATCAACTTGACTGTGAAGTTCCAACGTAGTACAGAACTAGTCACATTGGAATTTATTGTAGAGGTGCATGATATAGAGAAAGGAAGCCTAGAAATGTAATATGAATACGTGGTCCCTGCATACTCACACATGAAATGTGCACTTTCGGCATAGTATTTCCAACTACCGTAAAGCATTGATCTCACATGAAAAGAAATATGTGGAAACTAGAGTTTTCTTCTTTTTTTTTTTTTTTTTTTTCCCTTTTTGTCTTTTTTCGTGTCCGGCAACAGATCGCAACCC